TTTGTCACTAAAGAAGAGCTTATTTATAGTAAATCGAAATCAAATATTGTTGATATTGAAGCTAGTGATAAAAATTACATTAATGATATTGTTATTATTCAGTGTTTAGTTTGTACTTTGTGTCACATCCCAAAATTTTCATCTGGCTATAAAGGATTAAAAATTGAAATGAAGGTCAATGTAAGAACTAGATGAAAGAATAAAACAACTTTTGATATGAAATCTCGATAAGGTTCGGGCTGGCATTTCCGTAATTGTCGGTTTAAGAAGGGCAAAACGGAAAAATTTGAAAACAATTCCAGAAAATCCCTGAAAAATAGAAAAAAGTGTAGAGTAGAGGCTTTGGAAACTCAGTTGAGGCCCGAAAGATAGAAATTCGATGAAAATAATTTATTATGGAATTTCTTGTAAACAAAAGTTTTTTAGAAAAATATTAGAAAATCAGAGGAAAATAATTATTTTAATTAGTTAAAGGCCTTAATAAATTTGAGAGATTGATGGAAAATTTATCTAAATATTTATTTGAATTTATAAAATTGGTTTTATGCCTTGGAAGTTCAAAATTAATTTTAGGGGATTTATTTTTTCGAAGTGACACCAAATAGAGGCCTAACCGGAGAAAATTCAAAATAAACACTTGGAGGTGGCAAAAAATTTTGAAAATTTTCAGATCATATTCTAATATTAAAAGGTGAATTATCATGGAGAGAAATGAATTTTTGAAGGTCTGAAAAAATTATAGAATGTTACTAGTGAATAGTAACTGATAAAGTTTCAAATTGTTTGGGATAGTGATTTGGTTTGTGGGCCAGCACAAACCATTTGTGGGACCCAAAATGGACCCAAGACGGGCCCAAATTCGTGCACTTTTCAGATCCTCCATTTTTATTAAATAAAAAGTGGAAAATAAGGATAAATGGTTGGAAATATCTAGTAAAGGGACACTTATTCAAATCTGAATATTTTCCACACTTGATGGCTGCCACATACACCTTATTAGGTGTCTAATTTCGGCCAATTGAAGAGGGAAGGGGCAGACTTGAATTTTCTATATATACCCCTTAGAAAATACGTGAAAAATGTTAGGAAATTGGGAAAAAAAAGGAGACTTTGTCACTGTTTATTTAGCCACCTTGTTCAAAAATCTTGAGGTGTTTTAGGCAAGAAATCATCCAACATACACTAAGAAAACATCAAGGTATGTCTAAGCATCATTCTCCCTAAGTTTCACATTGACTAAATAAGGATTTTTGCTTGGGAAAATGCTGGAAAAAATGCTAAAAAATTCTGAAATTTTCAGTTGAGATGTGTGATGCTTAGGAAAGGATAGAAACTATAATAATCAAGTGGAATAAGGAAGATCAAGTGGTGTATGGATTGATTTTTGGATGAAATCAAGATTAGGGTTAAGGGGAAGCAATTCGGTCAGCACTTTTCATGCAGAAGCAATTTGATTTTACTTGATTTGGTGATTCTAATGGCTTTAAAATATGTTTTTTGTGTAGGGATATGTTGTTGGGGAGTGTTTAAAATCATTGGAATCAAAAATATAATTTTTAAAAGTTAAAAACCCCCTATTTGGCTAAGTGAAGTTCATGGGGAAGGAGTGTGAATTTCAAAATCTGATTGCACTATTAGATTTCTCATGAAAAATTGTGTAGGATTGAGTCATGAGATGATTGATTCTAAAGAAGGAATCAATTTATCAAAAATCCAAGAAAGGGGGGGGGGAATTGTTAAGTTAATGTTAAAGTGTTGGAACCAAGTTGTTTTATGATTAATATAGCCTATGTTTATGCTTGGTTTAATAGGCATTGAGAGAAGGAACTAAGGAGAAGCATTGCTCTTTGGAGTAATCATTTGGACAAGTTTTTAAAAAGGTAGCTTTGAATTATAATTTGATTGTTTATCTTGCTTGTTTATTATGATTTATTGTTGCTTGGATTGGAGGAACTGTGTGGTGATTTTGATTGTTTAATTGACATTGGTTATGCTTTGACCAAATGCTTTGTGGTATGTCAATATGGATAATATAATGTTCCTCTCCTGGCATGATATCTAGCATGAATTCCTAGGAGTTGGGAATGGTTTCGATTGCATGACATGTCACAATCAAACTGGCATTGATTTACATGATAATTATAATTCATATGCTACTGAAATTTCTTTGAAATCTCATTCCTCCTATGTTATTTTATGCACTAATTAGGAAGTGGACCAAGTATGGAGCAAGGGAAAGAATTGGCCTTGGAATGAAATGGCTTTATGAATATTATGTTATGTTAGAAATTTGTATCAAATGTACCAGACTTTATGTTGATTTTGTGATGAGTTGTGAATGAAATTTTAATGTAAATTATATTGTTATTCCATGTCTAATGTTGGAATTATGCTTGATGCATTGTGGAAAGAATGTGAATGAAGGAAAAAGAGGAAATAAATCAAGAAAGTAGTAATTAGGGGATAGAAATTTCCTAAAACATGCCAAAATTGTGACACATAAAATAACAAGCAATTGTTGGAGTTTGGGCATGAAATTTTACAGGCAAATAGATCTTATTTTTATCTTTAAAACAAGTTGTAATTGATTAAATTTGGAGTTGTGTGCTAAGAGTTATGCCCTTCCAAAATTGGGCAAAAATACCAAAAATTTGAAAATTTATCAAATAAACAGTATACTTTGACGAATTTCCTGAAATTATCCTGGATAGAATTAGACCTAATAAATATTTTTCTTAGCAAGCTTCGTGTGAAAATTAGAACCATATCGTTTTGATTTGTTTAGATTTAGTTATGAATTTTTAAAGTTGGCCAATTTTCAGATGAACAGTATACGGATAGGATGAATAGTAAAATTCTGAAATTCAAAATTTTTTATCCAGAAATATTACGAAACGACTTATATTGGTTCTAATTAATATATAATGGGATGTAAAGAGAGGTGTGACACTTTGTATAATGTTTAGGACAATGATTTAATTTGGTTTAGTTTAAAAAATCTGGATAACAATTTAACATTTTGTTTTACTAATATTAATTGGAAGTTGAAATTTTATGACATTTATTGTTTTACTTTTGTGCATATCAAAATATATTAAAAAGTAAAAAAATAAATAAATGGGCCAAAAGACCGTGGCTTCGCTTGAATCTGCCTATGGTTAGGCTTTGTAAAATAGATATTTTTTTTTTCAAACACAGGTCTAAATAAATTGACTCGTTTAAGCCTGCGACTTGTGAAGGGCTGGCCTATAGGACCAAGCCAGCCTGTTTTCTCAACACCACATAGAGTACGCCTATTTATTGTGTATATGTTGGGAAACATGGCCATTTGATCAAAAGGCAACTTAAACCCTAATTCATAAGAATAGCTCTTCAACCTTGCGAGCAAGGGAATTGTATGCGATTCTTTCCTATAGGAAAATAATTTTGAGGGCGCACAAGACAAAAACAGCACATTTATCGCAAATAAATTAAAATTTATAAGCAGATGAGCAAAAATTGTGAAAGGCTTTTGAGAGAACTGCTATAAAGTCCTGAAAAAAGAATATAATTACTAAAAGAAATTCTAGTGACAACAATAGAACAACTTGTAGTAACAAGTTCCAATAATATGAGAAATGACCACTTGTCATTTAGAACTTATTGATAATTATTTTATTTCTTTGGAGTCTTATTATAATTCTCTCAGAGCTTTTTCGCCATAGTTTGAAACATTTTTGACCCGGAATCAATGACAAGGCCAGTCAGTTCTGGAACTAAATTAGGCAGAGGTTGCAGCTACTGCTTTGTGATCCAAAATTCAAGTGGGCGAGTTTGATAGCTCAAAACCTTCAACTCAAATTTTGATATGGTATTTTCAAATTTCAACTAATTTAAATTATAATCCAAGTTAGATTTATTTAATTATAGGGAGAAAAACTCTTACACTATTTTTTCCCTATTCACACAAAACCTGAATCAGCTATATATATATACACCTTTAAGCCATAATATGGTATTTTGTTTCGTTCTCTTTTAAAGTGATGGAAGCAAAAGAATATCGCCGTGTAATCCCTATTCATCAGGTACAGTTATATAATTTAGATGACTCTTTTAATTTAAAGATATCAGAATCTCGTAATTTCATCCCTTTTGAGCAACCAAGCCTAGAATAAACAAAGCGCAGCAGACCTTGACGCATGTAATCGAACCAAACAAGCACTAAAGGTAAATGATGATGAGGGATAACAAGTGTATTGGGCGTTACATTATTTTTTCTTTGCATACAGTTGATCACCAGAATTCTGTTCTTAATATAAGAATTACTTAATGATTAGATTTGGCCCTAAATATAAACTTTAATCCACTTTGTCTTCTAAACTTATAATTTTTTCCTTCAAAACATCCATATTGATTGTAAGAAGTTCTCACAAAGGGTTAGTTTCTAATCCACTACACATTATCAAAGAGTGTGGATTAGGAAGTTTAATACATATTTATTACAAATAACTAGTTTAAATAATTTTCTTAATATCTTTAAATTAGTTATCTAACTCTTATATTAAGAATTGGATATTACTAATTTTAAAAATTTTCCATCACTTTATGCTAATATTCAATTATTAACTTTGCATCATTTGCCATTTAGATTCTACCAGACTGCCAAAAATTGATACCTTCCATACTGTATGCCCTCTCTACCCGAATTAAAAAAGACAAAAAAACAAAAAATTTGTTTAAACCTGTATGTATATAATAGAGGCCCCAAACCCTAATTCATTGGATCATCAGAATTTCGAGTCATACTTAGGGGGCACCCTATTCCTTCTGTTCACCATTATTGACCTCAAGCTGCATCTTCACAATTAACTCTCTTCGAACCAGCCCAGAAAATTAGGTGATAATAATGTTGTCGTCTGACTAATTGCTGACTAATTTCCAAATTTGTTTCTGTACTCCTCGTTTCACACAAACAACATAAGTAGTTTGATTTGATTCCCATCTAAGTGAAGCAAAGAAAAATGAGTACCAACAATAGCAGTAGTTCTTCTGGTGCAAGCCAGCAAGAGAGTCCTGAGGAAAAGTTGTTCATTGCGCTTATGAGAGAAGAGTGGAACAACGTTGTGAAGATTTTCGGACATCATCCGCTGATTCATGATAAGAAGATGGGAAATATGATGAAAGCAACAAATGAGAGAGCCGATTCGCGGTACGATGAGTTCTTGTCGGACACTGTGTTGCATTGGGCTATCACCAATGAGGCGCCAGAATTTATTGTTGAGGAACTGGTTGACGCAATAGTGGAGACTGATAATAATAATAGCAATGCTTTGGAGACTCTGAAAGCTAAGAATAGTAGAGGGGATACTCCTTTGCACTGTGCAGCCACACGTGGCTCTCTTGCCATTTGTCGGCGCATAACACATGTCAACGGGTCATTGGTTTGTGAGCGTAACAATGAGGGAGAGACACCTCTCTTCTTGGCTGCTCTTCTTGGTCACCAACCGGCGTTCCTTTTTCTTCATTCAGTTTGCAAGGAGAAAGAACCATTGTTACCGTCCTCAATGTGGAAAAGAACAAATGGAGATACTATACTTCACGGCACCATTAGGAGAAAACATTTTGGTCAGTACCTTTTATTATGCTACCTTTTACAGTTAAAGACACGTTTTATATATATTAGCTACTCCCTTTAATCTTAGACATAGATAACTAATTTAAAGAGATTCGTAAAATTAGTTAACTTCATGTGTTGCTTTTCCCAAATTATCTGTTTTAATCATTTGTGTAGGAAACTACTCCTTGATTAAGAAAAATTCTCTTAATATGTGGAATCAATAGAAAGAGTTTAGGAAAATAAATTATAAATTTAAGAGATAAAGTAGACTAAAATTTTACATGTAGGACCAAAGCAAACCCCTCTACTACTTTATTTTACTTTTAGGAGTTGAGAGAGAGGATATAAATTATGAATACTTGAATAGTACATCATCTCGCCGTGTCTGTGCATCTAATTAATATATAATTCAGCCTAAATTAATATTTCATGGTTTAACGAGTCAATTTCTTTTGTTTCCAAGAAAGTTTTTCTTGGTTTTTGTATATTCAGAAAAATTTAACAACTATGCTATAAAGAAGCAGCATGATTTACAATTGAGCTTGCTAGCTGCAAAAGAACACAGAACTAACAAATGATGTACCTGAAATTGAATTGTTTGCTAGATTTGTCCTACCGAATAATTGAGCTTTATAAAGATCAAAAGATTGGGAGCTCTTTCAATACAGAGGGACATTTGCCTTTGAATGAACTTGTCATGATTCCTTCTGCTTTTAAGAATGGCATTCTTCTCAGATGTCGGCAGAAACTGCTTTACCACTGTAAGTATAATCTCACATTAATACATTTTCACATGAAATTCACATTTCTTTTATTTCTATCCTTTTCATCTTAAACAAGTTACTCACGGTTCAGCCATAATCTTTACTATACCAGGCCTAATTAAATGAGTTAGATTTTTTTTAATATTAGGGGACATTTTCTATTATTGTGCCTAAGTAATTCACTTTCAATTATATTTTATATTATTTATTAATATGTGTGTGTGTTTTTCCTTTTCGCTTTTTTGGTTGCATATATCCAGGAAATTTGCACCATTTTTTTTTATTTAATACAATTTTAAACACTTGCTCACAAACATGCTAGTGTAAGGCTCTTGAATCTAGGACCTCATCCAAATATGGCAGGCAGCCTTACTACTGAGGCAACTAGCTGTTCACAAGTTTGCACCGTAGTTAACATTCACTCAAACCCTCCAACGCTGCTGCCTGCCAATCTTAAGTTCTGAACTACAGCCCAAGTGAGCCAAAAATTATTTTTATGTTCAACACAAATCTGCATATATATTTATATTCATATATTAAAAATAGAAATAATTTGAATAACCGGAAAAAAGACTGCTTTGACGTAGTTAAATAATTGAAATAAGAAAATTGGAATATTAGATATTTTTAAATATAATAAAATATAATGAAATTTATTTTTAAAAAATCAACATGAAAAATTCTTTTTTGTTTAAAATGCCATTTTGTTTCAAGAAAACCAAATAATACATGCACACAAATGAGGGGAATAGATGAATAGGCAGCTAGCTTCTATGAAGTTTCAAATCATCCACGCCAAAAAACACCTACGTCGTTTCCCCCAAAAAAAAATCAAGAATAGTATCCTACACAATGTTGCAATCCTTATGAAAATTTATCTCAACTCTATAGTATTAATTTCCTATAGGAAGGCATGACCAAACTTCAATGCTAATCATAGCCTTGATGATAACTATCATAATTTGCAGTTTAGTTAGAAGAATGGTCATTTTGGAACACTCTAAAATCTACTCTTCCGGTCCTAAATATAAAACCTATTTTGTAGTGTAAATTACACTACAAAATAGGTCTTATATTTAGAATTGGAGGAATACTATAGTAACAATAGTGAAGTAAACTCTAGACCCCATTTTGCTTCAAAGAAAGTGCAATAATGTCTATTTTCATGAATGGCTTTGTAGCCTAATGGCACAAATAATTCTCTGTAAGTGAGAGTTGATGGGTTCAATAATTCGTTGCAACATTAATAACTCCCTAGCCCATTTGCAAGTGAAAAAAAAAAGGGGGCTTACAAATTCATCTTCCACATTGCACAACACACAAATAGGAGAGTCACCGTACCATTTAAATTTTAGTCCCCATCTCTTCATGGCATGATCCGCTACCATCTCTGGTTTATATGCTTATTGGTTTTAAGAATTAGAATATTTCCATGCAATGCATGGACATTATAGTTAACAGATGTTTTGTCTCCCCTTTTTTTGCTCCCTTTCTTTTCTTCTTTCGCATTTTCTTTTTTTGTCTTCTTTATGCCCTTGATGCTTTTGGTGCCCACAAATGTTCGATAAGGCCACCTTGGGAAACTAAACGAGAATCATGTGTGCCGTCTCATGGACGAACTTATAAGACAAGATCCTTGGTATCGGGAAAATGAAAAGGCGAAGGATATGAAGAATATTGTGAACATGAAGTTTTACCCTCTCATGGATATGATTATACAGGAAGGTAAACGCCATTGTAAATACTCGCACATATACATGTACATAATAATTGAGGGATTTCTAATTTTTTGTAGGTGCTACTTCTGATTTTTAATATAAGAGCTAGTTGGATATTAAATTTGGTTCTAAATATAAAACCTCAATCTAGTTTGATTCTAAAATTTATAATACTTTTCTAAAATATCCTATTGATTATAAGGGGTTTCCATTAAGAGTCAATTTTAATACACATGATTAAAGAGAGTAGTTTTGAAAAGTCAACACATATTTGTTATACTTAACTAACTTAACTAATTTTCTTAATCTCTTTAAATTAGTTATCTAGCTCTTGTATTAAGGACTAGCTCTCCAGGGATTGTGAAAGATGTTCCACTAGAAATATTCTTGTTATTGCTTTGACTCATATTCCCCAAAAAGAGGTAGTATATAATAGTAACATTACCTCTGATCAGCTATTGGTACATAGCAGGCCGAATCAAAAGATCAACAGCACTGTTAATAGCAGCTCAAAATGGTTTGACAGAACAAGTGAAGAAGATCCTAGATGATATTCCTGTGTCTATCCATGACCAATTACTTGAGGAGAAGAAGAATATAGTACATGTGGCCATAGAGGAAAGGCAAAGCCATGTATTGGAGGAAGTAAAGAAACGCAAACATTGGCTTGTACTGAGAGAAAAGTTGGATGTTGATGGAAATAATGCATTGCATTTGGCAGCCAAGCAATCAAAATATACAGCAAGAGGGATACGGGGGTCTGTTATGCAAATGCAGTGGGAAGTCATGTGGTTTGAGGTATTTATATAATATTTAGTTCTTATTTTATCACTCCTTATAATTCTAGCTCTTCCACCTTATAATCAATTCATGCATATTAGAAGAAGAAAATTTTTTCTTAGTTTTAGTTTTAACGTTCCAGAAAATTAATATTTTACTTTGTACAATATTTTTTCACTAATATTATTTTGAAATGTTCACAAAAATATTATCTAATCTAGTGGACCTAATAATATGTATAAAGCTACAAACTGATAGAATATGTTTGGAGAAAATTAGAGTTATTTTAGATATTACTGGTTATTTTATTAGGAACAATACTTTTATATTAGTTAGGATTTAGTAGATTTTCATATTATTATCTTTTATGGATTTCTTTATATTGAACAAAACTTAGGTCAAATTATTACTTGTATTTATTAGGTCAGGTTCTTAGGTATATTTACAAGTGCACATATACATTTTAACAATTAATAATAGTAAAGTAACAAGTGTCCATATTTCATATGTGAATTTATAAATACACACGCATTTTACCAACTAACAATATCAAAATAACAACTATATCTATATGAAAATTGACTGATCCTAATTTGCATTATAAGAGCTTATGCTAAATTTACAAGTATTTATAGGTGAATTTACAAGTGCATATATGTATTTTAATAACTAACAATAACAAAATAACAAGATTACTTGGAGAAATTGACATGAAAGATACAAGCAACTTGAGTTAAGTTTTATCTTTTTAGATTTTATTTATTTTTAAATTAACGCACCTAGGGCTTTATAAATAACTTGAAGGTCCTCTTAATCTTGTTAACTAGTTTAATAAAAACTGAGCATCGTTTTTGCCTCTTGGCCCTTTCTCTCTCACTATCCTTCTTCTTTCCAAAGAAAAATAGGTTCAACTTTTACTGAATCACAAATTCTCTTACAATAAAAAACCATAAGGCTAATTATAAAACCCTAGTTGGATAATAGATATAAGATAATAATCCAAAACCCTAATCTTAAGATAGAAGAGGAAGATTTACACTAGAAAATACAAAATGCGATAAATAAGAGGTTTATGATGTCCTTAAGGACATTGCAATGTCGATATTTGTATTCTTTCATGGATGCTTGTTGTAAGATGAATTGCACTATTCATAACTTATATAATGAATCTGATCAGCTTTAGTTTAGACTGCCATATCCATATTCAACAAAGTTTTGCTAACATCCTTATCATGTAACTGCTCTCTTCATTTAATGGAACATACATATTTGATTGAGATTTGTGCATTACTTGTGAAATTTATTATTTTATGTTGAAACAGTATGTGAAAGAAAATATGCCACCTTACTTCATTTCCCAACCCAATAAAAAGGGTGAGACTCCAGGGGAGATCTTCACCAATGAACACATGAAGCTCATCAATGAATGTAACGACTCAGTGAAGGACACGTGCACGTCTTACATTGTAGCAGCTACCTTTGTTACTGGTTCTGCCTTTTCTGCATGCTTCCAGGACATTGATGGATTTGGCCATACATTTTCTATCTGTGTTTTAATATCCTTTCTCTCCTCTATGTCTTCATTAGCCACTTTTTTGGCCATTTATCTCTCTAGAAAGGTACAACCCAGAGGCTTTCGTCGAAGTTTGCCATTGAAGCTTTGTTTGGGAATTATCTCATTCCTAGCGTCACTTGTCTCAATGCTGGTTTCTTTCTATGCTGCACTATCCCATGACTTTGAACCTAAAGAGAAGTATAAGCCTATCATATCCTATGGGATCATTTTATTACCAGTAGCTTTGGTGTACGCATTTGCTCAATTTCCACTATATTGGCATGTCTTAAAATTCTCACTTACAAAGGTACCAAATCCAAGAATTGTGGAAGAAGATAACATATCACTTTTCTTCCAAGACTTGAGGATTGAACAACAGGATCATAACCAGCCCAATATATGAGATGGTGAAAGAGCAAACAGAAGTACTTGTTACGCCTTCTCGGAGTACGGGAACTCTATCCATTTGTCCATCGTTGAAAAAAGTAAGTAGATTTGAGGAAGAAGAATATATGTGTGCGTGTGTGTGCATGCTTTGGGGAACTTATCAAGATCGCTGTAGTTTTTCTTCCCAAATGTGTGGAAGAAGTACTATGAGTGTGTAATGTTGTTATTTGTATCCTATATGTTACTTGTTGGGATTTCGACTTATCTGATGCTGTAAAATTGCTGCCCATTTGAAGGAGTTATGAATTATTTTGCATTATATATGCTATTAAAGAGAATTAATTAATAGCCCGACGGCTTTAATTAAAAGTTATGAGGAGCCAAGAGGTCTTGGATATAAGTCTCAATTTTCCGATTGTTTCCAACAATTCATCATCGGTCGGTTGATATTTTCTCAACTTAGCCATGAGTAATTGCGGAGTTCGTTCGTAGTGGCTTCAACATCGACTTCAAAAAACATGCATAGTGAATGAATCGAATTTTTCAATAAGTAAGGGGCATTTATGTAAACGGACATCAAAGCGAGTTTTCAGTTGTAGGCCTAGGAGTTGGGCCTGTGATGAAGTTTCATAATTCTCATTGAGACTAAACTATGAAAAACTTTTTTCCTTTAAAAATTCATAGTTAATTATAGAAAACATGTATGAGGGTGTTCTAAATTTTTTTTAAAAGCTTATTAGGTCCTTTACATGAAAAAAAAATCATTGTAGTCTTAAACCATGCCAATCAATATAGTTTATTACTTGTCTAAACTCGCTCTGTTTTTGGAACAGGAATCGTGCATCAACGTCAAAACTTCATAACTCAAGCTACAATCTCCAATTAACCTGATCGACTTAAGACTTGTTGAAAAGATCTATATGTCTACTTTTTAACATACTAATTCTCATGAGAATTAGACATCGTTTACTACACATTAAACAATGAAATCACCATGCTCTTTAAAGAGCCCAAACTGGGCAGTCATGAACATGCATGCCAATTTCATAGTTTTAAGGCTATTCTCTGACTCACAATTGATTACTATCCATCTTAACACATTAGTTAAATACTCTAAGGTCACATCATGAACTTACACAATTCACAGGATTGTTTATACATTTTTCAACTTCTAACAAAATAATGATGTAGGAAATTCATTCCTTTTCAACTTACCCTTACACTTTGCCTTTGATCTTTCTTTGGAGGCAGATAACCTAGCGTGGTTATTCATTGGAGAGACGTAAGCTTTGGAGAAATCTCAGTAATAAACATTCTTCGTGGATGGGATCATTTTTCACATTTAATTATGGCAATTTCTCTTCTCTTTCTTCTCCGTGGACGGTATCATTTTGGGCCTTACTGGCTCTACTATTATGCTCTCAATTTAATTGGGCTTAGGCACCTAATAAACTTTGGAATATTTTTCTTGTGATATTTTTCACTTTAATGCCTCTTTTAGACCTTAAATATCACTAGGGAGCTCTTCCTATTTTTTTCCTGAATTTTCTTGATTGTTTTGATTTTTTTTTGAACGAAAGTCTCATAATTATACTTAAAATTTGAAACTTTCAGAAATTACACTTTTGTTTATGGCATAACTTGACATTCATGTAATGCTCTTCAATATCTCTTGAAGGTTTTGAAATATTTTCTAAACCATTTCCAGGTTAAAATATTCTCTAGATCACTTTTTACTTTTAGGCACTCTTATATAATTTCCTAGTATTTATGTACACTCAATACCCTATAACTTTCAGTAATTACAATTTCGTTCCAGTATACTTTTCATCTTCTCCTCTAACTTGGATATATCTTTCTTCCTTTACATTTAAGTCCCAATTCTCTTTCACCTTTGGTACTTTCCCAGCGTACCCCCAGGAAAACTTTTAATTTGTGATTTAGTCACTAAAATTCATTCCATTTTTTAGGGCATTTTTTTTGGGATTTCTGCTAAACTAGGCTTAGTATAGTCTACTTAATTTAGGTTTATTCTTGACCTTGCAGGCTCAAAATTTAAAATATGAAACCTGTAACTTCATTTTTATAAATGTTTTAATTAAGAGTAATGCGGTCATTTCATATGTATATTTACTTCTTCTATAACACATTGGTGCTTGACATGATTCTAGGGATCGTACCTCAAATAAATTTTCCATTAAGAATTTTTTTTGCTAATTTTCCCTTCACTTAGGTGAATTATTGTCTTATTAGCAAAGTTTGTACTATTCAATTATCACAAGCACTCCTCGATCTGGTCCTTAATATAAACCTAAATAACTAATTTGAGTAGATTAAGGATATTAGCTAAATTAGTTAATATGATATGTTTCTTCTAAAACATCCTAAGCATCTTTGGAAGCAGTTTCAGTGCCCATTGCAATGATGAGTACCATGATACTTATCAAATCTCAACCATTAAAATTTAATATGGACAATCGAGATTTAATATTTAATATTTTGGTTTCTTAAAAAAAATTTCCTTTAATATATAGGTACATAATCCAAAATAAATATGATCTCTTAAATATTAATCGTAAGTTTTTAAAAAATCAATTTTTTTATCTATAAATCACCAGTTGAAAATTTTAAATCTAGACCATTAGGACTCTATGAATGGTTTAGATTTCAGTGCCACAACGAGTATTATGGTGCATATCATTATGATAAGCACTGAAATTGGTTCCAAGCATCTTCCTTAATTCCCTCTCTTCCTTTTCTATTTGATTATTATTGGGAGAATATCAATAGGGTTAATGTGAAAAAAAATTAATAAACATGTAAAATAAGTCTTACATATAGATTAACATCAAGTTCCTAATTAGATCTTATATTAAGAACCAGAGGAGTACTTTTCATCAATTACTACTTCTTTTCGCATCATCATCCTTTTTTTGCTGTTTTATGGGTCGCTATGCATCATCATTCATCATCATGTTATCTTGTACTACCTCTAGTCTTGAGTTGGAGACTTAATATGGTCCTAAATATAATATTTTAATTTACTTTGTCTTCTATATTTATTTATTTTTTTCCCTAGTAGTTCCCATGATAATTACAAATATTAAAAGATTTCCATTCTTATGCATATGATTGATAAAGGTATTTTAGAGAAAATAACACTCATTTATTACAAATAACTTAGTTAATTTCCGTAATCTACTCATATTGGTCAATTGTCTCTTATATTAAGGACCGGGAGTAGTGCTAAGGAAGGAAGGTAGGTAGTATAGTTTATTTGGGAGGTTGTCGAAGTATCACATACACTGAGTTAGATTTATCTTCTTGAAGCTAGCATGTTCCACCTTTACTTTTGTCTCATGAGAGGATAAACCCTAACTTCTTTGTAATTGGCTCCTTTGGCAATTCCAAGGTTTTGGCATTGACGAAATATATTTTCGATGTTCACTATGCACGCGCATCTCCTATATAATTAATATACTGTACATATTTTTGGCCAAAATATAGTGGCTTTATTTTATGACTAAAATAATATTTGGTCGCAATGAAGAGTTAAAATATCCTACATTCTATTCATTTTAAAGTTACGGATTATATATACTATTTATTGATATGATCAAATTCGAATGTTTTCCCCTTCTTTGTACATAGAACGTGGATAAGTTCTCCACAACTATCATTTATTTGCACTTACTAGGAATGTTTGGGCTTGGAGAATTTGTTGACATTTCGATTAATTTGATATGATGGAGTTGTGTATATTCAGTTTTTTGTGTGATTATATGTATAAAAGTATGTATAAATTATATTTACAATAATTTATATATGACTGTAGCTGTTAATGTGCAATAGCTACACTCTTTGTGAATGATTTTATCAACTGGAAAATAAGTTGTACTCATCACTTTTAGTAGCCCTCAACTTACATCCTAATCAGGCATGAGTATTTTTTAACTGTAAAAAATGGTTTAAGATTTTTTTTGGGTGAATAAAATGGTTTAAGATTTTAATTGACAGTTAATTCGATAAAATGAAAATCAATGGTGAAAGGCGCATTTTCGGACATTTCTAACCGCCAAAATAATTCTTTTGTCTGTTGTAGCTTCTAATCTTATAAATAGTGCTTTTGTTATTGGCCAAAAAAATGAATTTTTTGACAAGGGTCACGAAAAGATTTTCTTTAATTGTTTCAATTCAAGAGTGTTAAAGAGGAAAAATAATTTGTAATTTTTATAACACAATATTACTTCTTTTCCATAAAAAAAGTTTTTGAAAAAAGACACCATATTAGGAAAATATGGGGGATTGTAACTAAATAAAATTAAGTGATGCGACTAATGAAGCCAAAATAAAGTTGAATTATTAAGAAAATAATGTAATGGAGTAAAAGCAAAGCATAAGATAAAAATGAGGGATCAAACTAAATATTGAAACCTTAAATTAAGTTTTATATTGCATGGTACGAGCACTTACATTGTATAACTAATTACAGCTCATCATCACTCAGCTATCTTCAATATTCAACTTAGCATCTATATCACTATTCAAATCCTCTTCCAAATTAAAAGAGACAGCAAAATTGACCAATTCATTTATCTCTTCAATGTCGTATCTGTATATAAGTTGATTCTTCAGAATTTGAATAAACTTTTACGTAAACCTCATTAACTAATTCCTTCAATTCAACAACATTGTTAACTTCGAACCACCCCTCCTTTGGTACTAATTTCTGAATTTCTCCATTATGTGTTATCTTCTGCCAATCCGCACGTACTTCTCATTTCACAAACATGACTGTTCCTTTTGTTCTTCTAATTTTTAGGGTTTGACTCACCTCAGTTGAAATAAGATATATAGAGAAATGAGAAACACTATTGGTAGTTCCAGTGCAAGCCAGGAAGAGAGTCTTGAGGAAAACCTGTAGATTGCCCTAATGAGAGAAAAGTGGGATGTAGTTGTAAATATTTTCAGAGACCATCCACTGGTTCATGATAAGAAGATGGCAGATATGGTTAT